TCTAACACTCTTCTGAAATTCGTGGTCCACCAGGAAGTGTCTGTGTTGTTGGCCTGACTGGATGTGCTTCACAAAATGTTTTTTTCAGGTTTGTTGAATTCTCGTCTCTCATCTTTTTGTTGTATTTACCTCCGTGATTTGTTCTTGACACCTGATGAAGATCGCTTGCGTTGTGCTCGAAACGTCGTGATTGTTTTGTTTTAATATAATTTTATTGTATTTCTACATACGTGACTTTACCGAAAAAAACAATGAGTAAGTTCAGATGTTACTCGCTGGCAATGTTGGTGATGGGTGTCTGGGTTTACTAACCATTGTGCCACCGCTCCCCTCATTGATGAAATGGCATATACTCTGTTCCAAGTGCTGCAATGCCTTAATACCTAAGTGCAAATGCATGCTGCGTCAACAACGCACGTAAAAGAAAGAATAATTATCGCTTTGCTCATTGCTGTGTATACATGTATTGCTATTTAAGGATTTAAATTCTGTCGTTTGGAATTTCGGCACCAAGGGGCATATTAAAATATTACAATTCATTGCTCGTGTTTAGGCCTTCGCTAATTTACTCTGCGTACCACTTTGCCTTATATTAACCCAGAACTGTTAACGAGATCACATTACCAGCTCGTAATTAAAGGGCATCGCACGAATCGCTGGCTTTTTTTTGCTCGCATGCACGCAAACCCACGACTTTGTTTTTGTTGTTCTGTACACACACGTGTGTGTGTGTGTGATGCTTCGAATGTGGAAACAAGCTAGTATTTCCTTGACATTGTGAAGCGATAAAAACAACGAAACACAACAGTCACACTTGGTCTCTCCTCCACTTGCACGGGTGCCCATTTCACAAAACGCGCCAATCAAGGCACACGAGGGGACAGTTGGCGCACTTGGTGATGAAGATCAACATTTACAACACAATAATGCCATTCTTTACATGTCTACACACACATACTGTACGACTACATGTCGATATTTTTCGACTCCACGATAAGGACACGTCAGAGAAACTATATCATGTACTGTTAAGCTTGAGAGGGGTGTTTGATGCTTTAACTGAAAGGAGATATTGTGTCACTGTGAGTTGTTGTGTCACTGTGTGCCAATCGTAGTGAGCTACGAACAAAACACTTTTTTTGTAGATTACTCAGGCCGTAGAAACATCGTGTTTTCTGGATTATAAGGCGCTCCCGAAAGTAAGACCCATTCCAAACGCTTTCTTTAACTGCGGGGGGAGGATGGGTGGGTTTGTTGTGCGTCTTATAATCTGGAGAATACGGCGTAACTGTGATGCGTTATGCTAACTGGGGAGGAAGCTTCCTTTACAAGCGCTATTGTTCTTCGGGGCTTCTTTTTGGTAGTGGAGGGGGGGGGGGTGGCGAACACGGGCTGGTGTGGCTGTTAACCATTTATTACGGGGTTACTCATTTGGAGCGTGACTCCTGCGGCAACAAAGGGGCTATTTGGTAACGAGGCGGTCACGTGATCTTTAAAGGCCCCCCCCCCCCCAAAAAAAAAAAGGAAACCCGCACGTGCTACCGACAGGACACCCGCACCGCCACCTTCTTCCTCTTCTTCTTAATTATTCAGCGATCCTTGTGGTCACAGTGAAGGAGGGATCTCTCGAGAGCGAAAGCGATTGTGCGCCGCGGGTGTCGAGATGTTAACTACCTCGCATGGTATACAGGAGGTCGTGGGTCCGATGCTGACGCCTGCTGTATATTTGAAGTTTGCGTGTCTCTCTCTGATCATCATCATCATCACGTTGGCTAGGATATGTTAATTAACGACCTTGCCTGGTATACAGGAGGTCGTGGTTCCGATGCTGACCCTGACGCCTGTGTATTTGGAGTTTGTGTGTCTCTCCCCGTGGATTTTCTCTGGGTCCTCCCGGTTTACCCCTCGACCTTTAGAAACGTGTGTTTAGAGTATCCAGCTGCTATAAATTTCCACATGATACGCCACTTTGTTGAGCTGTCATTTGTGGCCAAGTTGCTTCTGAAAAATAGCTATATAGCTCAGTAGGCCTTACCTGGTAAAATAAAATAGTTTAGTTTTCGTTTATAAGACGAAAACAAACTTTTGATAAACCTCATCATATGACTGGTATAATAAACCCACACAACATAAATTCGATGGTGACTATTGAATTGAAACAGGACCGACTCACTCTCCCAAGTAGCAGAACAAACAAGTGCACATGGGGCACTCGCTAAAGAGCGTCCAATAATCCCTCCCCATGACTTTTGAAACCTGTAAATTCAGAACAGTAATAAATGCGGTTATTGCAGGCATATAAAAGGCGTCTGACTCATTTCTTTCTTTCAGAGAAAACATAATAAAGAAGCAGCCCTTCATTAAGCAGAACATAAACTTTACGTTATGATATCGCTTCCCCAACAAATTCTATTACTCACGTTTGTTAACTTAATCCTGGCTGTACGTGATAAACCTTATTCTTCTGTAAGAGATATAATGATGGAATGCAGAAAACGAAATGGTCAACCGGAGGTTTTATTAGACTGACATCTAATTAGTTTCGGTGATACATTTCGCATGACCCATGTCAATGGGTATTGATCGGAAAACATCGATTTAATTCAGTCTATCAAAACTTGACAAAGTTCTAGGAGACAGATTGATTTTGGAGTTAGCAAATTCCAGCTGCTTCGCATTTTAGCACGTAAAATTCCGATCCGTCAAAATATGATGTTGAACGTGTAAGTGGGCTCATGGCAACGACAGACGTGGATTTTTCATGGGCTCTGTGCTGTTGTCCGGGTTCGGGAATGATGTCCGACGTTTCGCCCCACGTGCTGCGTGACGCCGAACTACACTGGGCGGCACAACCCGAAAACACATCGGTTAGAAACTGCAACAAGTTGAATTAAAAGAGATTAACTTTGCATTAAAAGAAGGCTTCCAGTGACGGAAGACAACAAATTAGTCCACCGAAACAGCATTCCATTATGAGAGCGAGAAAAAAACCATCAATATCGTGGCGGCGACCACGTCTGGCATTGAGTGGATGTAGTTCAATCCAAACGAATGCTTGGAAGCAGGGAAGGGCTGTGATGAAATCATGTTGGGTTATTATTAGCCGTGACTTGGCAACCTCGTGTTATTTAGATTAGCCTATATAATGTATGCACGTGGCGTGCTCGCATGCAGTCAATGTTGAACGTACATATATATACACACACACAGCACTTTCATATATAACCATGCCATATATGCAGTCATATTCGAAGTAGTTACTGTTTAAAATAAAAATCAAATATTGTCAGGCATACTCGCATCGCATATTCCACTACACATAAATTATACACCGACAATTCTCTGTGCATCCTGGAACGACCTCTTGGGCCAAAAGTGTTGGGAGCGAACACGGTGTGGACATCACCACGCCCGGCCACCTTTGTCTCCCCCAAAGTGCCGATGCTTTTTTTTTGTTCTCTCTCACCAGGTACTCATTTGAGGCTGAGTCCACCTCGGGGAGGCCCACGACCGGTTCGGCCCACCTTCATTGATGTTAACCGTGGTCGGGAATCGAACTCGTCGAGCTGCGGTTCGGAGCGCACTTCCCAACTCCTCCCTCACCAACGCGCGCGCGTGCACACACTATACATTGCGCGTGCATATAACGAATATATATTGACAAAAAAACAACACATATATACAGCGGCAAGCAAATTGATATACTACACAGAGATCCATCAATTTCCCCTTTGCTAAGAGACTTCTTTGCATTGCTGCTGCTGCTGTTTTTCCAGGGGTGTTGAAACACGGAGCTGTAAGGACACGGGGCCATCATTCATCGGGAAACGGGTTAAGCCGGAGCGCTGACGTCAGGCGGCTGTGCAAAGTGGAGAGGCAGGAGGAGGAGGAGGAGCCTTCATCGAGCTGGGCAGAGGGGAGAGGAGAGATAGGGGGGGGGTGAAGGGGATCCAGGACTCGTCCGCTCACAGTCTCGACCGCACGGCGACTCAACGAGGCGACGTGGGCAGTGTGGAGGGGAGCAGAAAGGGAGGAGTAGAGGCACCCCAACTCTCCCTCCCTGTCCTCCAGCCCGCTCCTCTCTGCTCTTACCAGGCGGACCCAGGCCAAGCGCACGGCAGCACGCACCCCCCTCTCCTCTCGTTCCAACACCACCTCCACTACCATCCGTTCGCCCGCCCGCCCTCTCCCTCCTCCGCCACTCCGTACACTCGCATACACCTCTCTCTCTCTCTCTCCTCCCAACAACACTGCCATCCACCCGCTTTCTCCTCCTTCACTCCGTACACTCACCCCTCTCTCTTCCCAACACCACGACGGCCATCCCCCTGCAGCCACCCACCCCACCACCCACCCCACCGCTGACAGAGTGCGCCTGCCGGCTAGAGACGCGAACAGCGCGGATTCGTATCCTCGTCTGCACGTGTGATAGACAATCCTGAGCGCGTGTCTCTCTTCCCCGTGTGTGTGTGTCTGTCCCTGTCAGCATCGCTCGTTGTGTGTGTGTGTGTTGTCTGCTACTCGTGCTGTCTCCCGTTAGGCACTTTTGCTTGCTTATCCGTCTTGTCTCTTTAAAACTAAGAAACGCAACCTCGCTCACTCACACCAACAACAACAACAACCACCACTTTTGTTTTCTCTCCTCCTCCTCCTCTTCCAAGACACACCTCCCTCCCTGACTAACCACCTACCTCCTCTCAAAGTCCTCCTCCTTGCGCGACTTCTGTCCTCCCTCCTCCATCATCCCTTCTCCTCCTCCTCCTCGGTCTTGCCGCGTTGCCAAAGTTGCCCACACACGCGCACCCCGATGCTGGGCTCTCAGGGCCGGGGAGTCCAAGCGCCGCTGCCGTCTCGACCGTGCCCGGCAGGGCTTTGCCTCGGCCCCAGCGCGTCCCATGTCTCCGTGGCAAGCCTAGGAGGAGAAGTCCTCCTCCTGCTGCTGCTGCTGCTGCCGCTGCCACCACTCTGGTGGCCTCCGCGTCCGTGCCTCCAGTGCGAGCTCCCGTTGGCCGGCCCGGACACATGCAGGCAAAGAAGCGCTACGTCCTAGTGTCAGCGGGCGTCTGTCTACTGCTTCTCTTCTACCTGGGCGGCGTGCAGTTCGGGCAGCTGGTGGCGGCGCGCAAGGGCTGCAGCCCGCAGCTGGTGGCGCGGGAGAACGCCGCCGACAACCCCCCAGGATGCCGCCGCTGGCCGGCGTGGGTCGGGCTCCGGCAGCCGGCCGGCGTGCACGCTATGGACGAGGAGGAGCAGGAGGATGGGGAGGAGGATGGGGGGGAGGATGGCGACGGGGGGCAGCCGGAGGTCGAAGCGATGGGTTCGATCCCGGACGAGCGAGGAGCAGCAGCAGCAGGAGGCGGCGGCGGTGGTGCTGGAGGAGGAGGAGGAGGCGGTGGGGGGGTAGACGTGTCGCCCCGGCGCAGACGGGAGATCTGGGACAGCGTGTACCGCGGGAGACGCTGTCGCATGGAGAGCTGCTTTGACGTCAAGCTGTGCGAGAGGAACGGCTTCTGGGTGTACGTGTACCCGCAGCAGCAAGGCGGAAAAGTCGAGAAGGTCTCCGAGAGCTACCAGAAAATCATTGCCTCCATCCAGGAGTCGCGCTTCTACACGCAGGACGCGAGCAAAGCGTGCCTCTTTGTGCTGGCCATAGACACCCTGGACCGGGACTCCCTCTCCGGCCACTACGTGCACAACGTGAGAGCCAAGATCCAAAGCCTGCCGCTCTGGAACAACGGCAGAAACCACCTGGTGTTCAACCTGTACTCGGGGACATGGCCCGATTACACGGAGGAGCTGGACTTCGACATTGGCCAGGCGATGCTGGCCAAGGCGAGCATCGGCGTGGAGAACTTCAGGCCGAATTTTGACGTCTCGATCCCCTTGTTCTCGAAGGACCACCCGCAGAAGGGCGGCGAGCGAGGCTACCTTGGGCACAACAGCATTCCGCCCACCAGAAAATACCTGTTGGTGTTCAAGGGGAAACGCTACCTGACCGGCATCGGTTCGGACACCAGGAATGCCTTATATCACGTCCACAACGAACAGGATATCATTCTGCTGACCACCTGTAAGCACGGCAAGGATTGGTGGAAGCACAAGGATGCCCGCTGCGACAGGGACAACCAAGAGTACGAGAAGTGAGTTCCCATCAAACTGCTCCTCTGATTGTATAATGCAATGCGCTGGTTGTTCAATTCGAACTCCTTGCGAAAGTAGTTTGGAAATGGATGTATCGCATTGGATGGTGTTGGTGTGCTCATCATCACCCTGTCCCTCACCGTGACCATAATTGGTAACTCTTGTCACTCAATCCCGAGCCTAACGTGAAACTTCAACAGTTCAGTCCCGACGTCGAATGCTAATAATGATGCTTGTGCTGCACATTGTTAATCTACCCCTTGTCGTCAGTCATGGTACAGCATGCTATGTTTGGTTAGTACAGAACTTTGGTTCCGTTATCACTCGCCACTGATGTTCGCCGTGGCCGGGTATTAAACTCGGGCAACCATGGATTTACATCCAGCACCTACTAATTACGCTACTAAACTTGGCACCGAACAAACTTGTATTCTAAACCAAAAACCGTATCTCGAACACAACAATTATTTGTTCTTGGCCCCTTAAACCTGACATAATGAATCACCAACTCGAGTCCCCAAAATCATTGTTTGAAATCAATTACGAAGTTACTTTTACACAGACGCACACAAATCTATTGTTCCAGCAGCCACGACGCCAGGTGAGTTTGCCGAATGGACAATTGCATTGACGCTGCATTTGTGGGTGTCGGCGATGCGGGTTTTTTTTTGGTTGACATGCGTTACGAAGGCGCGGAATTGCTTTGAGCTTTTGACGCAATACAATCTCCCCTGCGTTGTTGTTGACACAGAGGGGGGGGGGGGGTTGCATGAGAAGGAGGGTGATAATTGCCAACCGTTATTAATCACCTCCTACTGTTAAACCCGCGTAATACTTAGGGGCCCGATCGTCGGGAACAAGGAGTGGATATAAATAAACACCCAATTACTTATTATCATCAGCCCAATGTCCCGTGGTGGTGGGGTGTGGGAGGGGGGGGTGAGCGTACAATTATCAACAATCACAAGCGTATAACAGAATGCATGGCGGGGGGGGGGCACGTATTGTCTTGCCGTTAGAGGAGGAAGCAATACATTAAGGAAGTGATAAGGACGCAACATTCGCAATAGATTAGGATATTGGATAATACACTTCAAACAATGTTCCTTTGTCTTGTAAGGCATGATCGCATGCGTGGTAAGTGTCAGACGGTTATTAATAGTCAGTGATGGATATTTGTGACAGCCCACTAAAAATACACGAACAAAGTTTGGAGTCGGGGTGGAGGGGGAGTTGGCTCTGCTATTTTATTTTTACTGCCCAGCTGGGAGGAAAGAGGATGTTAAGTTAATGGGCAATTGAGCCTTTGTGCATGCTTTTTTTGTTAGATACAGTTGCTAAAGTACTACTGCACGAGGCCTTTTTTTTGCTTTCGTAATATTCGTGTAAATTAGTATTCAACGTTGTGTTGTCATCAGTACGTAGAGTATAAGGGTAACATTGCTGTAGCTTCTCTTTCGCCTGTGACTCCTAAAGATAAACACTTCGTATGGGGGAATCGTTGGTTGTTCTATTCGTACACGTCTCGGAATAGATAGTACCCACATATTATTACGGCAACGCACGTGACTTGCTGCTGATGGACGAACTATTGCCGTGGACTCATTTATCGGGCGCCGTGGTGGTGAGATGTTAACTACCTCACCCGGTATACAGGAGGCCGCGGGTTCGATCCCGACACTGACGCCTGTTATATATTTGGAGTTTGCGTTTCTTTCTTCTGGTGGTCACGTGGATTTATCTCTCGAGTCCTCCGGTTTGCCCCTCCACATTTAGAATGAACATGCGTTTAGAGTTACTCTTTAGTTCTTTCGGTAAAGTCACGTAGAAAGAAGAGAAAATAAATAATAGAATACGACCTTTCGATTGCAACACAGGCAACCGTCATCAGGTGTGAATGCATGCTCGGAGAGAGAGACATACAGGGAGAGAGACACATAGAGAGAGAGAGACAAACACATATAACACCTCGTCACAGAGGCGCAGTTTCTCTGTCTCTGTGTGTGTCTCTGTCTGCGTGTCTCTCTATGTGTCTCTCTGTGTGTCTCTCTCTGTGTGTGCGTCTCTCTCCGTGTCTGTGTTTGTCTCTCTCCGAGCTTGCATTTACAGCTGATGACGGTTGCTTGTGTTGCAATCGAAACGTCGTATTCTATTATTTATTTTCTTTTCTTTCTACGTGACTTCACCGAAAGAACCAAAGAGTTATTACCGCAGTCACGAAAGCTTCAAATCAAGTGCGCGTTGAGTTTTTGGCTGTTGTAAATTTCCACGTGATAAGCTACTTTGTTGGGCTACCATTTGTGGCCAGGTCGCTTCTGGCAAAAAAAAGCTTCACAAGTGATGGATATTTGTGGTCAAATAAAAAAATAGTTGAGTTTACACCGCTTTTGTGGACACAGCCAGTGAGGATTTTTCGAAACTTGCACCTTAATTTCAACTGCAAACGCCAGTAGATGGAATCGAACCGGTGTGCTAACCAACACGCCATGGCAGTAGCATCCTGGCCTATATATTGTTTTATAACACAATAACTATCTCTGGAGTCGGGCATGCAATACGCTAAGGCTGATAAATTGTGCACATTCAATTGAGAGGGGAGAAGATTGCTTATACTGCACTGTATGTAAATCTACATTATTTGGCAATTGAGTTTGGCTGAGTGGAGGAGTTTTAAGAGCTCAAAAATGTGCTGTGTTGACATCAAAAGGATGGCACCATCCAAAGTGTTTATTGCTTTACTTGATTATCCTTTCACTCTTTCCATTCTAGAGAAGCACAATACAGCAAACTGCCTTTTCAGGGCCTTTAACTTAAATTTGCGAGGACAATATTTGACCGCATTGTTGTCACTGGCCCTGCTTTTTTTTTTGCAAAGGAAGAATGCCTTGGGATCTTTTGTGTCCACAGGACCAATTTTTGTGGCAAGTCGCAGCCATCACCCCCCCCCCCCCGCTTCTGAAAGCGCGCTTCTTTTGCGATAACCATCCCATCACAGTACACGGAGCGAGATTGTATTACGCCACTCTTAAGGCCCGATTCACATATGCAAGTAAAGGTGGCCAACGTAATGCCTCGCATAACGGTGAATGGGAAGTGACAGTTTTACAAGGTGTGAGAAAATGCACCATATGTCTGGCGCTGTTAACATTTTTTGCCCGCGTGTTTTTGCCTAATATTACAGGGCAAATTGTTTTGCGACTGTAACTGCTCTGGCCTACGACCAAGCCCCCCCCCACCCCATAACCTAGCACAGCACTGTACTCGTTTTTGGATTGTAAACGGTAAAGGCGCAGCCCTGCAATTGCTTGCTCATGCCACTGCTGGAGGAAAAGTCCTTCCACTAGAGGGCGCTTTAGGCGGCCCCCTCAAGATGGTGTTTTGCGTGCCCTTCCACACTGACCGGGCATCTTGGAAGGAGGCCTGGAAGTACCCGCACTTTATTCCACCAAACTTGACGTACCAATCGACTGGGACATACCCATATATAGTGCTGAGTGGATGGTGGCCAGCGGTGGTGGGGGGGGGGGGCATTTAAGAAACTTGCTCAGTGCTTGAAGTGCCTTTCTTTGCTGGGAGAGGAAATCGACAGGACAACCTTTCGAATTGCAAGTCTGGTCCGACTAGCCATTACGCCAAGGCAGCCACCCTCGTGTATTGTAAAGACTTGTAACTTTGATTTTTTTTCTCCTGGGCTGCTATGTGGCCAAGCACTTTAGACTGCCATCCCTGCAGGATGCCAAGTTACTGGTAAGTGGGAGATTGGGAGCAGATTCTCTGTGCGCCTCCTGAGGGTGCCGATTCATCTGCACAAGGCATGTAGAGGGAATGAGCTATTCCTCATTCCAATGTCTCGCCACAGCAGCTCAAAATAAAGGGTTTAACTTACCCGTGTGTCCTATATTGATTTTTTTTTTACCGTGGTTGCTGGGCACACACTCCAAGGACACAGAACAACAAGCGGCCGGCTACAAACGGCACTTTTGAAGTTGTAATAGATAGATGAATCCGTATGTTCATTGATTTGCAGAAGGTTGCTGAAATAACTTTGTTAAAAGAGAGGAAGGGAATTGCAAAGTTGAGGAGGAGGCGGCAAGAAGCCAAAGGGGGGTGGGGTGGGGGTGTTGTGACCTGCAGTGTGGTTGTATTAACACATTGTGGATGAGACGACACAGTTTGTCAGAGTCCTCAACACGAGCGGAGCGATCCATGAGTTGAAGTCCATGGGGACAGTCACCGTTGTCGTCGTAGTAGTAGCGACACAAAAGACACGAGTCGTAACTGCGTGGCTGACCGCCGGCGAGCGAGTAACCAGAGTGGTGCGGTCAGTACTGGATCATCAATCAACCCCGGTTGCTTTATGTTGAATTATTTAAAGCGCGCAGGGAGGTAGGGGACTGGGCACTAGATCGCGGTATTTCAACCTCGGCCAAATTGTTTGGCGCTAAGAAGGCTGTGGAACGGAAAAGAGAGCCGAGCTTGAAGAAACTCTCTAAATGGGAATGAACGATGACGGGAGTTGAGCCCTCAACCACGGGGGAGGGTGGAGGAATCGCCTCCGATGAACACGGCAGGCTGCGTACGGCGCGAAAGAAGTTCAACACACGTACATACCGAGTGAAGTTCAACTTGGCATCCGGTAACAGACTGCAGTGTCGGGCAGCGTCGTTACGCTGAGAAACAGGAAACTCTTTAGCTGCATTAGTTCGACCATTTGCATGTCGCTTTACCGCCTCACCCCCTTTGTGCTCAAATTCGTGAATAATGTCCCAGGCTAAAGCCTCGAGTGTGCGTGGCGCATGGACAGCTTATTCATAGCTGTAACCAGAAGTTTTTTATTCTTACAGTTTAAGTACTTTACTGTACCGTGGTTCAATTGCTTTGTCATTGTTTTACCCATTTTAGATTAAGCGTGTTATTGGTATTAAAGTTCAAATTAAGTTGCCTGCATTGAACGTGAAGAAATACAGTGATACGACATTGCACCAGCTCGCATAGACGA